TCAGCTTGTAGGTGCCTTCATGTTTCTCTGTCCCACCCACTTTGACAACACGTTCAGTTCAGGGAAAATCCTATGTAAGAAAAGTGCCTTACTACTTTGAAATCTTTATTTTCAACCTTAACCCCTCCTGGTGCTTAGCAACTTGTAATTTTATTTTTTTCTAGCACAAAATACCTGGCATTCATTGGGATACTTAATACCAAAATAAAGCTGACTGATATATTATGATAAAATTAACTACAATGAGCATTGAACTCAAGGCAAAATCACCCAAGTGAAATACCTGGTAAGCACTGCAGCCAGATTCTGCTTCTCTCTTGTGGGTTCTTTATTCATGGTTCTCACCCTCCACCCCACAATGCTCTGGTAGTTCCCTCAAACTCCAGACCATTCTTGCCTATTCTTTGACATACTGTTTCACCTAGATATTTCTTTTTCCCCAGTATATCCTGAAATCTTTCCACCCCCAAGTCTCTGTTCTGCCCTCCCTTAAGCCCAGCTGGCAGTTGCTAAGCAATGGGGTAAGGAAAAGCCATAATCTTTTCCAAGATATGCACACCTATTAATGGCTGAAGTGGAGTGTGAATAAGTTCAGTAAAAATAATGTTTAGCTTAGTAAAAATATGGCTGAACTTTTAATTGCAAAAGGAAAGTGATTTTTTTGTCTTTCTCTGTCCCTCTGAGAGAGAGAATATTCAGACTAGTTTGTGTTGTGAGCTGTCCCGAGGCTGTGTAGCAATGGGGACGGCATATAAAAACTTTGAATAAATAGTTTAAAAAACTACAAATCAGTCTGGTTTCATGCAACAAGACAACCCAGCATGGAAAATCCAGACCATTTCCCACATAGCTTATTTTTAAGGCAAGCAGCCCATCTGATAATCTATGGTCGGTTCTAGGTGGTTGTTCAATCCATGGTGTTGTCTGAACCTGGTCCAGTTTCCATCTTTGGATTGAAGGCATCAGCTAGCAAGCTGTTTGGCAAGAATAGCAAAACTCCAGCCACTTTTTATGATCCTTCTGTCTCTGCCACTGGTGACAGCTTCTCCATCAATGCCCAAGCAACATGTTGGAATGACTGATCACTGGTTAGCCACCATTTCTTATTTTACATTTTCATTTGCTATTGTTAATTCTCTGAAGCTTCGAAGAAGCATGATTTAGGTCATTTGGTGTTTTGCCACCCTCCCCAAATTTCCCAACTGCTGTCACTATTTTTTCAAATTACCTTTTTTGTCCGTCTTTCAGATGCACAAATAAGCTGTCCAACATGTGTAGTCTTGCCTTGTCAATGGCTTTGCAAGTTTCTTGTCAGAAGGTGCAGCAAAGCAGAACACTGTACATGCCTGACAGAAGATTACCAATATGCTAATTTTTGCACTGTTGCTAGCTATCGATTGCCTATCATTTCAAAAGTAGAGGGGGAAAACTGGCACAAGAAGGAAAAACCTTGAGCTTTGTGTTGAATTTCAAGTTCTTAGTGTCCTCTACCATTTCAACACTTTTCCAAATTTACAGCTACTGCAGGAAGGCAAAGTACTCGTTCCCCTCCTCCTTTGTAGAGCACTTACTGCAGGTATTACTGCATGCCCTGAAGTTTTGTTTTGTTTTTTAAACTGAGGTAGTAGCTAAATGAAACCAAGTAAATGATGCCCAACTCTCTCTCTCTCTGTGCGTGTGTGTAGAGTACTGCTGCTGCCCAATTTGCTCTATTCTGTTCTGCCACCTTTTAAAGCATTCATTTTGAATGGTCAGGAATATGTATTTGTTTGGATTAGGAAATATATATAAATTTAATAGTTGGGAAGGACACGGAGGGAGGATATGCACTGATTTAAGGACAGGGCAGTGAATTAGGGGAGAATAAAGTAGACATGCAAGCCTGCAGATTTCTCCTCCCTTTACTTGCCGGCCATTACATTTGCATCCATTTTGTAGTTAAAACACACATTTTTAGAACTTCTGGGAAACCACAATAGTAAGTGCTGTGAAAAGGAGAATCAAAACACAAGGGAAAAGTTACTATCTCCTCTGTTTGGAGCAGTTGGATGCTCAGGGAAATGTTGAAAAGGTAGTGGGCACCAAAACTCTTTAAAACCAGAAGATCCCATCACCAGTCAGGTAGTATTTTCACCACTCCATTGTTGCACCTACTTTTGCTGCCCCCCCCCCCCCAGGTTTACTTTTCAGCTGCTAGCTTGGTAACTGCCCTTTGGCAACTGCATGTACATTAGGATAAATGCGATCTCACCCTGTCAGTTTGTAACCCACTTCACTTCACCACACTCTTTGACAAGACAAAACCAGATTATACTGAATGACCCTAAGTTGTGCCACTCAACATTTTTGCTTTTACTGAGTCAGTGGGATGTTTTGTGGTAAATTAGGGTACAGGGTTTTGTTTTGTTTTGGGGTTTGGTTTTTTTTTTTTTTTTGAGCCTTTAATGTTCAAGATAATATTCCACTGACATAATCAGGAACAGAGCCAAGTTTGTTTGCACACAGCCTACAATCAAGCACTGTGCGCCCCATGCCAGTAACAGCCAATATGGGTAAGAAATAAGTGAAAAACTGGAGATGTAAACCCCACAGGCTTGAAAATATCCTGTTCTTGGTCTGAATGCAATTTTATGCTGCCCTGGAGAAGACACACTAGTGCACCCACAGTTCCTTATTCATTTTTATGTGCATTGGCTGATAAAGGCATTGGGGAACTGTGCTTGACAGTGTGTTGCACTGTTAACAGGCCCCTTCCTCTTTGGATAGAGAACCTCTTCCTAGAAGAGGCCTCAGCAACTACATGGTGTGCTTGATGGGATCAAGCATGGAGTCATTAGCAGATCTCAAGTGTCAGAAGGGCCTTGTTTCTTGAAGGCATCATTAGCTGCCTCATCACTGGTTGCCGCAGGTTCTGCATCAAGTCTGGTGAACAATAAAAGCCTTGCTGTAGTATCCAGATTTCTACAGACTAGAGTATTGGCACATATCATTCACCGGGACTCCTCTACCATTGGCAATGACTGTGGTAGACATCTTGGCAGCAAGAATTCTTCCATCAATAAATCCTGCTGCCCCATGCAGTACTGTGATAGCAAAGCCCATGATACCTACTCCCAAATCTGCTGTTCATAGCTCAACTTCTCTCCCCACCACCTACTGTCCTCTACTCTGTGTTAAAACGGGTGAAGGGATCAAACAACAGTGCAAATAGGCATGGAAATCAGACTGCAGCTTGCTTGCTTATTTATTCCATTTCTATGCCACCTACTACTCAAAGGTCTGAAGCTGGCTTGAGCTTGAATAGTTGGAATGTACACCAAAATCTGTAAAATTTGTTTATTGTGTCACAAACCAACAAATACAATGCCAAGTACTCTAGTGAAACCCGAGACCTCATTTCACTCAGCTGAAATGTGACTACATATCCAGGTGATCCTGTTTCAAAGCTCTTGCAAAAATCAAAGCCAGAAATTTATTTTCCTGCTCTTTTCCTGAAAGCTTTGGAGGCCGAAGAGCTGTCCCCACCAAACACTGCTTCATCCATTATGAGAAACAAGAACAAAAATGTTGGTAAGAAATAATAGGTGGCTTATCTAGTCAGAAACCCTGTTATTTGTCCAATGTGTGATATTGTTGAAACTGCTTTTCCTCCCAGCTGCACACCTACTACAAGATTTCAGGGGATGATGTGAGTTAGTGCCCTGCAACAGCAGGAGGCCTTCTGACCCCTTCGGACTCTACTATTCTATGACCCTATCGAACTCTGTTGACACGTGCTGCTTGTATTCTGGTCTCTAGATTCAGTACCAGGAATCTGAGGTAGAAGTGGATTGGCTACATCTGGCTGCAATGGTAAGCTGATGCTTTTTTCTTCGGCATTGTTCTAAAAAAGTGACCCCAGAATAAAAAGGTACATGTTACTAAAACTTAAATGAAAAAGAAGACAGGAATGGACTTTTATTTTAGCCAGAAAAGTGAACCGTTAGTATTAATTTATTAAGGGTTTCAAGGTAAATAAATCAAATACTGTATTCTAAAAAAACAATATATTAAAGAACTTTTGCTCCCTAAAATGCTGTCCCGCCCCCCCATGAACACTGTACAGCAGAACTTTTATTCTAATGCCAGTCAACTAGGTAAACAATCGCATTTAGTATTTAATGCTATTCTTTGCAAAGTTTGTACATTTCAAGTTCCTCACTTGATTGTAGATTTATTCATTCTTTTTTAAAATATGAATTTTTAATACCACTAGTCATTCTTGTGGTTAATAAGAGCACAATTTTTCACAAATTAGTATTCATTAGCTCTCAACATAAAAACTGACATCCATTTGACATATCTGAAGATGTCAACAGATTACCTAACATTTGTCTTCTTATTTCCATTTGCAAATACATTTGTCATAATAAAAATATCCTTTAAGGCTTAATTTTCACAAAAGCTGATCAATGGTAGACCTGTTTATGGATTGTTTCACTTCAGACTGCTGGTGGGGCCCCACATGACTGAATCAACTCCCATATGGGGGGAAAATCCATGCAAATAGAAAGGCAGCTTATGTGAAGTTTCCCCCACCCCCTCAAATGGGGAAAAACATTCAGTTATGTGAGCACAGGTTTACCATCTTATCTGCTGTTTGTGGAAACTCAACCTTTTTCCTGTCCAATAAGCAAATGTGTTCAGCTTGGATTACTACAAAAAGTGTTTAATGCACAGGGAATGGTTTATTTATTTATTTAAAACTTTTGCAGACCGTCCCGGTTTAACAATACAAAATGTAAGAAAAGAAAAGAAAAAAGAAAAAATTAAAACACAGCGTCCTAAAATTTAGCAATAATAAAACCCCAATTAAAACAGTCAGGTCTTAAAATATTCGGAAAATAAAAAGGGTTTGGCCTGGTGCCAAAAAGAATAAAGTGACGGCGCCAGACAAACCTCTCTGGGGAGTGAATTCCACAATTGGGGTGCCACCGCAGAGAAGGCCCTTCTCTGGGTAGTCATCCTCCTAATCTCCTGCAGGGAGGGCACCCAGAGAAGAGCGTCTGCCCCACATGTTAAGGGGCAGGTGGGCACATATGGAAGAAGACATTCCTTCAGGTAATCAGGCCAATGGTTGACTCAATACTGTACACATTTCCAAAAGGATAGCTTGAGGTGTCCTCCCTATTTCCAGTAGATACGATGGCACAGCTGACAGCACTTCTCATTATTGCCAACAAGGGCTCCCTAAGAAAAAACAGTCTGTTTGAGCAAGATGAGAAAACAGTTCAATGAAAAATGAAGGCAACAAGATTCATTACTTTAGTGTTCACACTAAATGCCAGTTTTTCAGTTTCATTTGAAACCAACAGCGATCATGAAACGTCATGAAAGATTAAAAAAAATCTCCTAGAGCAATTACTAAATGAATAATTATCACACTAGATCAGTAAACCCCAGAAGAAAAAATAATATTAATAAAACCAGTGTCTCATATCTTAGGTCCTTTTCCCATACAGTATTCACTTTTTTTTGTTTTAGACACAATCCATAAAAATCTGCCATGTTTGGCCACATTGCACATTTTGTCTTAAAAAAAAGTTGTATACAGATAAAAATGCCTTTTTAGATTCCTGGTATGAATGTTGACATTAACGTCCAACCCTAAGTTAAAAGATCAGCTAAACCAAGTTTAAATTATTATTTACAAATCCAGCAGTTAGAATGTCCATCATGGCTTCTTTTCCATCCTCCTAGCGACTGACACTTTTGCAGCAAGCGTTCAAGTCCTTGCGGTTGTCATCACTGCTCCTCTGTCATTTTAAGCAATTCTAGAAGGGCACCAACAGCACCAAAGTAACCCTTCAAAATGAGAGAAAAGTGTGGGAAGGAGCGTTAGTAACGTGACTTTTCAGCATTCCAGAAGTAACACAAAAATATTATTTTAAAAGGTGAACAACCCAAAGTATAAACCATAATTACCGATACTGTAGAATAAAATGTAGAATGTGTGTGGGGGGGGAGGGGAGGAGAGTCTTCATTAGCTCATCTTCATGAATGCTCAAAACAGCAAACAAGAACATTGCAAATACAATTGGTTGTTCTAAGACTTTCCCAGCATTTAGGCATTTTAAGCAAATACAGCTGAGCTAGTAAAAGATGAAGCAGTTCACTTATTTTACAAAAACAGCAAACTCAGATACAACAGCCAGAATGTATTTTTGTTCACATTTGGACCTCTGAATTATGAATTAGAAGTTTACTTATGAACTTGCTTCCAACAAACTTGAATTGCGGAAAGGTTGAGCTCATAAAACCCCGTATCATACTAGGAATGATAGTACTACTACTACTAAAGATGTCACATCTATATTTGAATGGATACTGATCTTTCTTCCCATTCATACATTAAAGAGGGAAGAATAAGTAACAATTTCAACATCATCATGATGCACTAATGGAGTAACGGCATGGGAAGGGGAGGCAGTTTTTACCTCATGTTCCAAAAAGAGAGCTTTAAGTTGTCCCTTTGACCAATAGTCCATGGCATAGGCTAGCACCTTCATGGCAACCATGTTGATTCTCAGAAAGTTTCCAACAAACACCACTCTCTCAATGTGCTGTAAAATGTAAGAAAAAGATACACATTTAATAGGCTGCAATTTTCACCTTTAAAACATACTATGTTTTCCAGTAGCATTTACAGTTAAAATGTTTATTCCATGTCTCTTAAGAACAGAGTTTCACAAAAATGAATGATCTTATTTCCACAGGAAAATACTCTGAGGTAACATTTCTGAGTTAGAATGCCATTTTCTATAGCGAAAACCTTTCTGGCAGTTTACAAGAATGTATCATATGTACAATAATAAAAATGGATACAGTAAAATATTGTGTAAATTTCTAATACACAAAATTTAAAAACAGTTTAAAGTTCTAAAACAGTTTCAGTAAGAACTAGAACTGTTAACTAATGTATACTATCATATGCCATTAAATATCTGGGAGTAGAAGGCAGTTTTAACATGACACCAAAAAGATGACAACATGTGGGGAGAATTAGGGGAGCCACCACTGAGAAAGCCTCCTCCTTGTCTTCAAGACTTTCTCCAACTACCTTGAAGGTGGTAACTGAAGGAAGGTATCAGATACAAAGTCATTTCATTCTTTGTTATTTTTTCCTATCTTGTATATTTTACCTATTAGAAAGTTGGCATCCTTGTTCTGTTCTGCCTGCATGAAATTGGCTGAAATACTGTATGACAGCAATCAGTATTTAGCAAGAAGGAACTACTTTGGAAAGAAAAATGGTTCAGGAGTGCACTATTTATGGCACTCAAAGCTTTAGTACAATTGTGCAGTTTCTGTCTTAAAACTGACAGTCAAATTAACACCCCTGAAACTGGTAACTATATAAGCATCAGCATTTTTTTAAAAATCAGTGCAAGTTATTTTTGCCTGGAAAGCTTTCAAGGTGCTAATATGATGAGGGCTAGTGTTAATCATGCACATCTGCCTGTTCTGACAACTCCATGCTCTCCCTGTACTCCAAACATATTCTTAGTTCAATTAAGAAGTGCCAAGGTTAGCATTTATATGGCATTTTTCTAAAGTTCTCTGTACATTTCTCTCAAAGTATTTGTATCATTACTGGAATCCCTTGATGCATTATTGTCAACCTCATAATGTAGGTGATTATCTGAAACTGACAGATAAATATTTGTTTAAGGCTAACCAGTGAATTCAGAGCTGAGATTTAAGCTGGAACCTCACTGGGTCATTGATCATGCCTTTAATCCTTGTGCTACACAAGCTCCTAGGAGTTATTTGAAAATAATAATTTTAGAAGACCACTTGCAATAAAGATTTAATTTCTCAGGTGACTCTTAAGGATCTACAGTACTATATAAGCAGTTACCTGCCTCATTAATGAAAGAGGTGGCTGAGCCATACCATAAGAAAAATGGGGAACTTAAGGCAGAAAAATTGTTCTGCGAATTGTTTTTTGCCTAAAGGACACACAATGGTCTTAGTCAGCATAAGGCAGCTTCTTCCATTCAAATGTCAGCTGAGACTTCTGAAGACTACTACTTTTGGTTCATGAAATGGTCTGCACAACAATTATGGTATGCTGGGCTATTGATAGCTTTTGGTGAGAATCAATTCAGATTCCTTCACACTATGGTTTGCAGGAACAGAAGACAGACTACAGCCTGGTATGCTTCCTTCTCTGCTCTTGCGCAGGTTCACTTTAGCACAAGCCACAGTTTACCATAACCTCAAGAACAGCAATGTATGGTTAGCACGTGCCCTATCAATCACCACTATTGTCTGAAATGGATTTGCAATTACTATTTGAAAGAAAGCATTAACCACAATTTGCAAATTTGGACATCATGGTCTGGTCAATGGACAGGAAACATCAGAGGTGCAATCCAAAACAACTGGGGGAAAGCTGTTGTAAACCAAAGTTAAAGCCACTTGGAAGCTCAAGGCTTAACTGGGTTTGGATGCCTATCTGAAATGAGTCAGAGGTCTGGTTTAGACATTATGTCAGTCTACAGTTTATTTAAACCATTGTTTGTTGCCTTATCCAAGCTTTATCTGAAAGAAGTTCAAACAAATTATGGTTTGTTTTCTCAGGTCCTGGCTTGTTTCCATTCTCTTTTGCCTTCTTCTTCCCTGTATCCCCTACTGCCTTTTCTGTACTCCAATACCGGTATATAAAGAAGCTAATATTTTTCACTGTTTTTGCTTCCTGCCTCTGTAATCTGGTAAAGGAACCCATTGTTCTGGGTTTACTCACAACAACCCATGCTTTAAACAATCAATAGTTACAACCTAACAACAGACCATGGATTTTCTTCATGGGTTGTTTAACACCCATAGTTGACCCATACTACCAAGTTCCTACATAATGACAACCCCAATTTAACAAACCATGGTTAATCAAACCACAGTTTGTTGTTGCATGAGAAATAGATCAGTCTTATGAATTATAAGCCTTTGGAAACTGTGGCTAGGTGACTAAAAGACCACTGGGGTAGATATGAAAGTATACAACAATACAGTCAATTTCTGCTGTCAAAGACATAATAGAAATGCATAATTTGTCCAAAGTTTTCCACTTATTTATATTAACATCATGTTTTCACAACCCCCATCTCTCCACAAAGATTTAATCCTCTTTCAAAACTAACTGCATCATACTATTCAGTAATGGTCAATCTCTTCATATTAAATGCAGCCTCACAGCAGTTAACTCTCCACGCTTTGATAGCCCTGTACAATGCTGCTTGAACTCCATGCCACAAGGCAACACTGTAAAGAAGCTGAAAGCAAAGAGAAGGAGGATTAGGGCTGCTTCTTACTGAAGAGGCTTTCTAGTTATATGTTATGCAATGTTTTTGTTTCTATGTGTTAAAAGGAATCCTCAGTCATGGAGCAATAAAAATGCATAAATACTTTGTCTGATTTGATATTTTAGCATCCTGCCCCTCCAAATTCCACATGGCTATTGCTAACTGTAATAGACCTGTGTTTTTGCTCTCTCCTGGTAATGTCTAATGGTGTAAAGTGTTCCATATGGTATTTTCTTGATTTTCTTGTTCACCCACAAGTGGCTTGACTGATGAAGTGAAGATATGGCAGAAATTAAACTCGTGATAACACTTATTCCCCCCCCCCCCCGATTTATATCCTGCCTTTTTCCTACAAAGGGCTCAAGGCAGCTTACATCATTCTCCTCCTCCATCTTATCCCCACAACAACAACCCTGTGAGGTAGGTTGGGCTGAGAGTCTGTGACTGGCCCAAAGCCACCCAGTTGGCTCCATGGCTGAGCAGGGACTAGAACCCAGATCGCCTGAGTCCCAGTCCCATGCTCTTAACCACTACACCACACTGGCTCTCTGATTACCAGTGGACAGTAGGATATGGACTGTTGCTAATTTTGGCCTCAAAGTGTAGTAGCCATACAATCTTCATGTACAGTCATTTCAGCTGATGGTGACTTGTCTAAAGCACCACTGAACTTCATGGCTGAACTTAAATTTGAACCTGGGTCTTCCTTAATTAAGTCCAACACCCCAGTCATGGCACCATGCTAGTGTAACATGCACAGAACATCATAACAATAAGTTCCCAGGCCAGAACTGGTTTTTAGGCAATAGGCCATGTTGGGTAGGTTTGAATTCAGGAAAAGGAGCCTAGAAATCTTGGGCTAGCCAGTGTGAGATAAGGATGAATGCTGGAATTCTTGTAGAGAAAGGGTCAGACTTTAAAAGATTAGGAAAACAACCCTGCAAGGAGGATGACCCAAATTACCTCATTCATAGTACCCAGCAAACACAGACAAAGAATGTACCTCTTACCCAGAGAAACAGTAGTTAAGGTCATCAAGAAGCAATCAAGCACCTTTCCGACAACTAGCATGAGTCTGGGAAACTCATCTTCTCCACAGACACAAGTACAGGGAGTAATAATATAAGGATCAGGGACTTAGAAAAGAAACACAGGTGCTATGGATACTCAAGAGCTTCACACGAGCTCTGAACTCTACTGCTATGGAACAGGTAACAGACCCCCGCCTCACCCTCTCAATTTAGTCTCTCTCTGTTAAGCAAGGAATTATTTATCTCTTTGTAAGACTGGGATGCAACAAGAATATTTGTAGTCCAGGAAAATCGAATTAAAAGCTTGTCCTTGCTCTGTATTTTTCTGCTGAATAATAGTTTCATTCTGTTCCGTTCCTTTCCTAGTGTTGTGTGTGTTTATATGAATGCAAAACCAGGGCTTGTTCTCTCTGGTCACATGTGTTAAACCCCAGGAAAAGATCCCAAACCTTTTGAGGCAATCTGGAGAACAAGCACTTTCTTTTGAGGTGTATTACTCCCCAAGATTACCTGGTGTAACACTAGCACACTTTTAAAATATGCATACACCTTCAAGTTGCCATGATATGCTCAAACCAGGATCCAGCTGGTTTGGTTTTACTTTGAAAAATCTATAGAGTTTCCTTTGAAAAGTCTATAGAGAAATGTCTATAATGTGTCATGGTTCAAAATACAAATTAGGAATCTCCGCCCGACTGAACCTCAGGGGCACTTGGTTTAGTAGGTCTGTAAGTCACCTGGTTAGCAGGGACATCAACAGAGCCATGTTGTTCTGTTTCTTCTGTCAAAACTAAAATACTTGAATACGCAATTCAACTCTGAGTGATAAGGAAGAATAAAACACAAAGGACCAAAGAATAATACAAGGTCCTATTTACATACACGCACAGATAGTCATATTTACCATGCAGCCTCATTAACAATCAAATGAGTATAATCCACAGCCTTACATGGTAAGTGCTGGTGGCAGAACAGAAGGGTTCAAATCTTATATGCAAACCTTGAGCAGACAAAACTTCCACTGGTGATCTGAAGTGTGAGAACCACTGATATTATATGTAGTGGAAGTGCTTCACAAGTTAACTCTGCTGAACAGCTTAATCATTTAAAAGAAAAACCTGCTGCTAAATGTTTCATTTGACAGTATGGAATATATTGCAAAATGGGGTAAGCAAGTTGTACATCGTCAGATGTTTTGGCCTACAACCCCCATCATCCATCACCATTGGCTATGCTTGCTATGACTATGGAAGCGGCATCCCACAGCATCTGGAGACTCCTAAGTTGTCCAGCCCTGCTAAAATAGCTTGGCATTTATGTCTGTTATGTAAATTCAAGTTCAAGTACTTTCAGTGGCACAACAGAAGCTTTCATAGCTTTCTAGAAACATGTTCTTACCTCATTCAGAGCACACATCCGAGCAATGGAGCCAATGTTATTGGTGATGGTGACTAAAGTTGCTCTTGCCAGGTCTTCTTTACTGATGGAATCCCTCTTTTCTTTGCTCATCATGTTGCCGAAGCTGTGTGATAATACTAGAGGATATGATTTTTCTTACATTTTTCAGAAAGGCCAAGGTTTCTAAAAATAGGTTTTTAAATAGTTTGTCTGGGATATATAAGTAAGGCATTCATGCAGGATGCAAGCCACACACATGAACACAGCAAATGCCACCAGTCAGAACTACTAAGAGTTAGTTAGCATTACTTTCTTACAACTGGACTGTATATAAATAGAAATTATTATCTTTGTAACATTAACCAGTCAGCAAGAATCATAAGCAGCAGAGACTCATGATGTTTTACAGTCTAACACATTTATTTTGGTATGACCAGGATACGTTGGATATTATATACATAGTAGTGGTTGGCAGAACCATTTTTTCAAGGTAAGAGTCAAGTCAAAGCAATGCATCCTAAAGCCACCATATACCTAAAGATACCATATACGAGTCAAATCAATTAATTTAAAGTAAGCATCCTCAATCACTAAGGTTGTACATAAACAAAATACGTAAATATGGTTTGTTTGCATTACTTATGTAAGTCAAATTTCCCTAGCATGGTACTTTCCAGTTTGAGGCAACTATTCCCAGTATTCCTATTCATTAGTCGCCAACACAGATTAAATGTACTTTTTATGGGAAGTTGAGCAGAGTGGCTCAAGTAAGCACAGAGGCTGCTTAACTCGTTTGCCCACATATTGCTTCTCCTGTCCACATCATCGTCACTGACATATTTTCCTTGTTTGCTTTTCAAATGTATGTTTGTGAATTGAAAAAAAAAAAGTTTAGCATGGACAATTTGGACAGAGAAGTGGAAAGGAAGGAGAGAATTTAACAGCCATCCTCTCTCTCCACCTGCCTTTCCAGTGCTTCTCTGCTCTAAACTGCTCCCCTCTTGAAACAGCTTTTCCTGAAGAAAAGGCATGAATCTGCATATTGTTAGGCCCTCAGCAATCAAGATTCAAAGTAATGACTTGATGCAGGTTTACAAACCTGATTTATCTTCAACATGGTTTAACATTAAGGCAGATTTCCTGCCTCTTCAATTGTAAGGTGAAGAACAAATCTCATTGATATCATTATACCCTCATTAGGGTATGGTTTAGGTTGTCATGCTAAATGATAGCGTGTACTATTTCTTTGGGTTCTCACCCAGGGTTAAGGAAACAAACCACGGTTAATTGCCTAGAATTACAAGCTGATATTTCTAGATAGGTTCTGACATAAACACCTAACTCTTGCTATTTGGTGATCAATCTACATCACACCAGAGGTTAAAGGAATTGTGTGAGGTATGGTATCACTACTTTCAGGATATCTGTCCATCTTCTCTCTCCTCTTGCCGCCATCCCATCCTTATTTCAATATACATGAGCTATTTTTACTGCCCCACTTTACATATCTAATGAAACATTCTCTTATCTAACAGCCGCTGAGGCCCCACAAGACACTCTTTATTTTTTCCCTGAAAGAGAATAACATGAAAAACTAGTGGTGTTTATATTGGTGGTCAAAGGTATAACCTATCCATAAACACAGCTCTAGAAGGTCCATCGTGATCTACAGTGAACTTTTTTCAGGTGACCTGTTGACATGTACCTTGATGCTACAGCAGATCCTTGAAGACCAAAGCGTTCGTAGTCTCCTCCATAAATATCCTTCACCAGTTTATCAACATTAGTGCTGTCTCCTTTAGCTGCCATTTCTAGCGCTTCTTCAAAAGTCTCACAGCCAGTCAGCAAACAACACAGGCCCAGGAATGTACCACCGCCAAGACTATGAAGAGGAAAGGAGCAGTTTCAGCTACCATGGAAAGGCTTAGGCTCCTTAATGTCTGTCTTCTAGAAAAGCCTCAAATTTCATCCTCCAAAAGAGACCCTCAAGTTAAGAGAAGGGGTTAGGGTGGGGTGATGCTGACTGCATCCGGAATTACTTGGTTTTGATAGCCGTGGTGGAAGGCACCTGGCTACGTTTTGATAGCTGTGAGTACAGTTATTTTATACAAAATTCAGTATGGGTTGGTTCATAAACAGGTGCCATTCTGTTCCTGTGCCGAAGGAATTAGGAAGGCAGGCACTGCTGTACATGTGTATAGTCCCAATCTGTGCCATTCTTTCCCCTCAGTGAAGACATGCTAATCATGCCAAGTTGCACGCAACATATGCGTGCAGGGATGTGTATAACCTTATCCACCCCTTGAACAGTACCAGTGAACAATGGTATGAAATTACTGTTAGATTTAGTTTAAAGTATGGTCAAGAAACCAGGACCGTATGTGACAGTTTGATCCTAGTTTGGACTAAATAAAGTCTGCTCCCTTGTCCCAAGGTTGGAGGTGGACAGTAGTGTTGGGTGAGCCATAGCATTGCAGCTGCCCATTCTATAGCACTAAACCATGGTTTGAAGTTGAATGTAAAATCAATCTGTGCATGCTCAGATGCACTTTTCTTTATGATGTTGTATCTGTTTCTTTGGAAATAAGTCATGACAAAGATGTAGTGCTAAATGCCATGGTGTATTATAGAGAGGTAGGACCAAAATGCCTGAAGAATTTTTTTCTTGGATCATCTTAAATACTGGTAGCTACTCATATTTTAACTGTTTTCACAAGCTCATAAGAAAGGCTAATTAAAATCAAATTGAACCAACATGCCCATGCTATATTCCTTTTCCTCTAGCATAGTAATAAACACCAGTGAATAGTTATGGTTTTTAACTTGCTTAAGATAATATGTATTTGACTTATATCTTGTAAGTTGTTTACCTGAAAAGCACCTTACCAAGTTTGAAAATAAGTTAAGAGAATAAGTTGTTGGTATCATTACACTGTGGCTTTCTTAGTCACAGATTACTTAAAACATTTTATGTAGACTGGCACTTCTGGGGAATTAAATGAGGCAGTTCACTACTTTGTTCCTCCAAAGATTTTCCTCTCAAAGATCCATGATCAATAAACATTGTGCTCCACTAGAGACAGCTGGGGACAAACCTGAGCTCAAAATCCAGATTTAACTCAGAAGCCATTTGATTTTTTTACCTCACATATGCCGAGGAGGTAAGCCTCTGACTTCAGGTGCTTTCTTCAGTTAAGAGGCCTGTTGTAATAAAGATTCAGAATCTTTGGGCTCAATCCTAGAACATTTCATTTCAGCAAAGGATATAGTTTATATATATTCACCTGGTCCCTGTAACTCTCTTATAGTTGTCCTTGGAATACACTGCTAAGATGCTGACCCCAGAGCCTATGTTAACTAGAAGCATAGGGAAAGGATTATCAAGGCAGTAAGGCTTTTTCTGACATCGTTCAGGATCTGCAGGATTTTCAAAATAATAGCACTCCGGCTGGCCGTTGAAACCAATGGAATCCACATAGAGCAAGCCCTGGATCAAGCAGTCCAACTCATCCAGCTTATGAAGCTGAAGGTCAGCAATCTGCAAGAGATGTTAATAAATGAACACATGTTGGAACAACAGAAATCTGATCGATGGGTCAAAAGGTTCTGCTGAAACACTTTGTACTGTTTGAGTTACACAATGGGTCATCACTAGAATAATATACAGTATTTACACAGGAAGTTTCAAGTCAAGCATATTGCCCATCTGTTCCAACAGCAAGCACAACCATCAGGTCAACACGTTCCATGTTTGAAATCTGAGCCAAGGTCTTTTCTCTCCTTGGAGACATCTCTCTACTATGCTCATTGACAATTGTTTTCTCAAAAAGCTGATGATATTTTAAAAGAAGGATCACTGCTTCAGACATTCTGCTTTTGTCTCTGATCCGACAGACTTTTAAAAATGGCTTGTGTTTGCATGTCATTACAAACCATCACAAGAACCCAGCCTGATTTCTCCAGTGTGCCTTGTCCAAGCACTGCAAGCCACACAAACCACCCAAAGGCTATTTGTGGGGGTTGCTGCACCCACAATGGGTTCTTGGGTCTTTGGAACCCCATTATCAACAGCAGAGGTGCATAGCAAAAGCAGCCAACTGCCCTTGATGCTTCTGCCAACCAGCTCCAGGGCAGCCAGCAGTGCCAGTTGCCCTCAAAGTGTCCAAGCTGCCCTCTCCCTGCTGCAATCACAAACTATTTTGGAGTTGCTGTGGATTAGTATTTACTTTTTTTTTTTTATTTTTTCTTTTTTTTTTTTTTTTGCTGGTGGGGACAGACTGTGAAAGTCAGCTTGACAATCAGTTTTTGCAGTATCTATTTTGACAGCCCACATCCCTATCAAAGGGCCCAAGGAGAAGTTAAAACTGAATTGCAGAAAAGGTTGGCACAAAAAAAAAAGCACCTAAAAATTAATTGTACCTGTGAGCACTGGGATTAAACCTTGCCTGAGGCATTGTCCAGAGGGGTGCCTCCTGCAAAGGTGCAACAGGAAACATTGCTGGAAATTGCCCAAAACTGGCTCCAACTGTTTTAACTTCCTTTGATTTCTTTTGAAAGCTGTCAGAAAGCATACTTTCAGGGGAAACCAAAAGTGCAAGGGATCTTTCCATATGAAATGGGGGTGTGGCAAGATCCTCATCTTCTTCCACCCATCCCCAGGTAGTTCACATACCAATGCATGTTTGGAATTTCTTCCCGAGCCTCTCAATTCTTTGAGATAGCTGAGGGGTGTTGTTTATGTTCAAGCCCAAAACAAAACAAACCAGAAACAGAAAGAACCCCACATTGCCCAGTCAGAAACCCTTTTAAAGGAACCCAAAGTTTTGCCTAGAGAGTGAACTTTTTAAGTTGGGAAGAAGGCAAAGAATGCATATCCCTTACGTGCATTAGCCAAGATGTGGCACAGCAAGATGAGGATCTTGCTGCAAAGGTGGATTCTGGGAATCTCAGCACAAAGGATCTGTGCAAAGATCATTCACATCTTTTGTTTCTCTTGTGCGATTTTTTAGGACGTTCCGACAGTCATGGACAGCTCCTGCAAGGTGCTGCTTGGGCACACTGAAAAGGCTGTCTGTGGCTGTCGAAGTAGAGGACATCACAGCCACCTGTCAAGATGGTTGCTGCACTCTCTAGGGGAAAAACAGGTAAGGGGGGAGGTGTAGAGTACAAGAGACAGCTTGGTTCTCCTGAACCAAGTGCCCCACAGGAATCGCCCCACAGGAAGGTGGGGGGTGGGGGAAAGCGGAAGGGGTCAACAACCCATGGTAAACCCAGTTGTCTGTCAGACTCATGTTATTCGCATGACAACTAACCTACCATGGCTTATTGCTAGGCTGGGTTAATATAACATACAAACAAACCCATTCTCTTATAAAACCTGCATAACCTGTTTTTTTCAAAATTGAAGATGGGACAAAAGAAATGTATACAAGGCTATGAAAACTCTCTCTGTGTTTGTGTCTCTCTTTCTGTGGAGAGCAAAATCACCTTCAGGCTACCTTCTGTTCTCTTTAAAAACATCAGAGTTTTAAAATGTAGTTACAATGCCAGAATCCCGCTAAATGGGAAAGTCTTGAAGCCCAGTTTTTGGTATGGAGCTGTTTAACAATGCTATTATCAACATATATACTTCTGGCAGCACTTTGTGGTTGAAGTAAGAGCTCTAGGGGTGACCATGGACTCGAATAGTGCCTTGGGACAATCTTTCCAAAAGAATAGGTTAAGAACTACTCAGGTAATTAAGTGGTTTCACAGGTCAGACAAAATTTCCCGTTATAATTCATTCTCCCCACGAGTTAGAACTGAAAAGTAGCCGTACCTCTTATCATCTAGAGCCATAGCAATGCAACTGTACCTGTTACAAATTTTTGGATAGCCCCTGATTCCAAAACCATGTTCAAACAAAATCTATAATTTAAACCAGGGTCCAGGTGATATACATTGGTTTGTTTTCAGACACCAGTTTTCCTTTCTTACCCTCTACAGCAAACACAGGCAATCAATTGAGTTTTGTATAATGAATGAAGAGAGCACAATGGAAACTGTACTGCATTGTAGAACTGGAAATATTAACTGCTTCAGTTACAGTTGTCAAAGAGCTGCATTGCCATGCCTACACTGGAGTGATCCATTAGTTCCCAGCAATGAACTAAGTATGATCTGAAACCCATGGCTATAGAATCAACTGTTTGCATACCATGAAAAATGGCAGATTTTTCCCCAGGCTATACCATTTCAAAGCAAACAGGGTTGTGAAGACCTCTTAACAGGGACAGAGCTACTTGAAAGACAACAGCAACTGTGCATGTGTTACATAATCCAGAGTGGCACGCTCACCCACACAAAGCAACACAGCAAGGAGGTACTGCCTTACCTATCCTGCCTCACCTTTTGCCTCAGGCCAACAGCTAACAGGATGAGCATACTGAAAATTATAAGCTGCTGTAATGCTATGGGAAAGGCACAGAATTGTTGATTTCTTACTAGAACTTTTAAAAAAGCAAAATTAAAAATCTCTTCTCCCATACCTATGGGAACCACTGTTATCACACAAAGTCAGGGGTGGAAACCTGAGCCATAGGAACATAAGAAAGCTGTGCTGGATCAGACCACGGGCCACTCTAGTCCAGCATTCTATACACACGGTGGCCAGCCAGCTGCCCTTGGGAAACCCACAAGCAGGGCATGAGCACAATTGTACCCTCCCACCCATATTCTCCAGAAGCTGGTGCACATAGACCTGTTGCCTGATACTGGAGGCAGCATATAGCCATTAAGATTAGTAGCCACTGATAGTCTTATCCTCCAGGAATTTTTTAAAATTTCCTTTTCAAGTTACCCAAACTGGTAGTCAGTACTACATTTGTACTGAATTCCACGGTTTAACTAAGTACTTCCTTTTATCTGTCTTGATATCTGTCTCTCCCATTCACTGGGGGGGGGGGCTATTCATTTTCTCCACATCATGCATAAATTTATACCCTGCTACCATGTCTTCCCTTATTCACCTTCCAGATCTTGTTAGCATGGCCAATGGTCTCAGATTATGGGCAAGAGTAATCCAATATCTGGAGGGCTACAGGACCCCTACCCTTGCACTAAACAGGCATGCAGGAAATTCCATCAGAGGACTGGCCATAAAGATTTCTCAGAACTTTGGGTTTTAGGAATCTTCCAGTGTGCAGGCAAACTTTAAAAGTCAGAAACAAAAATTCTATCATATTCAAAGCTCTGTAAATTCCACTCCTAATTAGAATTTATGGACCTCCAGATATTTTGCCTACAGCTCCTGTCAGTCCTAGTCAGTATAGTCAGTGCCAGGAGTTTTAGATCAATGCATTTGGAGGGCCACAAATTGCTTTAGAAAACACATAAGCTTTCAATATGATAACAGATAAATACAAGATGGAAATGAAAAGGATATGTAGCCCTGCAATGCATTTTCTGACAAATCTGAAAGCATTTAAAAAAATCATTCAACTGATCTCTGTCTACAATTTTACAAATATTGATCACTTGCCGGGGGGGGGGGGCATTAGAAGGAAAGTGAAGTAGGAGTAGCATAACATCTGTATTATTTCTTCAAATGACTCAGCTGAAACCAGCTGAAAACTCTTTTTCATCCCACTCACCCACATAATCAGTTCTCCCAGTTTTCCTTAAAATACACCAATTTGTGATTAATGTTAAGACCTGACAGTCAGCAGCATAACCATAGAGTTGCCCCACCTGTCGAAAGCCCTATTCAGTAGTTCCCCCTCATGCAATGACTGGCCCTGGAGCCTGAGTGCTTGGCAACTCTGCCCACTGGTGCCTACACTGAGCTCAGATCTAAAGAAGGGCTATCTACTGGACAAGCACAGTGTATCACCTCAAGCATACAAAGGGATGATCTAAGATCATTTTAATATATAACAAAATAGATGTAATGAGGAGACAATCAGCAGGATATATGTAGCATGATAAGCAAATATACCCTCCCCTCCTTAAAGGACATGCTTCTGCAGACATTCCCTCTCTGTTAACAGTTTAGTTACTTGCTGCTTGAGAATAAGATCCACTGTACTCAATGCGGATTACTTCTGAGTAGACACATACAGGGATTGCACTGGGAACCTGGAAGGATTGCACTGGAAAGCTGTTGGTTTAAAGTAGCCACACGGACAATGAAACAAGCCAATGAAACAAGCTGTAAGCTTGATTGACAAAAACATTTTCCTCTATTTGATTCGGCAGCACTGCAAGAGGGAAACGCTATGCCCAAGCGCAACATACCATTCGAAAGTCTTCCTCAAACTTGTAAGCTCCACCTCCTGTGGCACAAAGCGTGGTATGCAAGCTTGAGAAATTCTTTTCGCTACCCATCTGTATGAATCTATGCATAGCACAGCTTGGAAAACGGATGAAATGAAGATTCCCTTTACGTCCACACATAGTCAAGTTTTTCAATTCGAGGTGGACATCTCGGATTCCAGTTTTTCCATAGGCAGTATTGGAAGTCAAGTACTTCCTAATGCTTTTCAGGTTTTCCACTTCCTCCTGTTCCTCTTCAGCTGTAATGTCTTTTGGTTCAAAGTAGACCAGTTTAACAAGTGTCCCACCAATATCCATGCCAAACCATGGGAATGCTAAGGAAGCAGAATAAGAACAGAGAAATATGGATTAATTTAGGCATATTTAAATAATTTCTGAAAGCGACATTCAACAGTAACAGATCACATGAAACTTAGAAGATTGGTTCCCAACATTTCAAAATTCTGCCTATCTCTCAGAAGAAACCCCAAATCTCTGGAGTTTGTTTTTAGCTTTTCAGATGACATAGGTTAGTATGCCATTTCAGGCTGTAATAGAGAGATTTCAAGCAGGGCAATGGTTCCCAGCAAGGTTTAAAAGATCTCTTCTGGGATATATTCCAAGAAGATATTTTGCACACTAAATAACAGAAGAAAATATAATGCACACTTTTGGAAACTGTTTGGAAACTGAAAATATAATGCACACTGTTAGCAACAGCAAAAATGCTATCAACAGAGGTCAGGGTCATCCTTTTATAAGCTAACATGTCTGGAGTAGTTTGGGTCTTTACACAGACTCATACAATTGCTTAAAACACTGGTCAGAGTATTGATCAGTTCAACCAGCTACAGAAGGCTTTCCTGGCCTCCTGATACCTCGACATCCATGGGGGACGCATTGTAGCGCAGTGGGAGAGCAGGCGCAGCATCTCTAGGCACGGCTGGGAAATCTTTTGCCAATCAGTGTCAACAGCACTGTGACAGATGAACCAAAGGTTTGAGTTGGTATAAGGCAGCTTCCCATGGTATGGTGGCTGTATGCTTTCTTTGTATGTTAGAACTCATCCTTTCCTGTATTTGCAAGCTTTGGATACTTTCAACTCTAGTTTCACTTTTCTCTGCTATGTTCAACATTGCCAAAATTTGGACTATTAAGATCCCTGCGACAGAAACCTGTTTGGATTAATGGTACTCTGTATATTGCCATGCAAACTGATGGCACTAAATACATGTAAATAAATGCAGACCAAGCATGCAGTTCATTCATGAGAAAGATGGAAGGCATTCTTGCCTGCATATTATTTCCAATAGCAGCTTCCACAATCATTAACTTCATCATAAAATAACCACCATCTTCATGACAATGATGATTTTGATGATGGTATTTCACCATGTCCAGGATTCCATCACGCTTGTGCTTGATGGAAGTAAAACACAACACAAATTAGGCTATGTAGGAAAGCAAACTGATAAATGTGTTCTGGAATGTAGCTAACTCACGATTCAACTTTTAAAAATGCCAATATCCCCACTAGTACTCAGGGAAATGCATGCCCACACCTGTTTAAGCTGTATTCTCACTCAAAGGAACAAAGCACAAATGTGAATAATTTATCACAAAGATCTTGTAAGGTTTTAAACAATTCTTGATCACGGTATCATCACACAGAAAATCAACAGCATGCTATCACATTCTATTTTTAGAATCACTCAATAGGATGAGCCAAGAGTAAAAGAAAAGGGAAGAGAACAGCAACACTTCCTGGTCTCTTTCCTTGTACCCCTCCCTTGTGAAACAATGCTCCCAAAATAGTTCCGTGTGCTCCTATTTTTGGCACTGACACAACTGCTGTGGGGAGGGGGGGCCCTGCAAGGAATATGCCTGCCATGACCAGTTGCTCCAAATTTAACAGGGAAACACATGGCAATATTAGCCTCATGTCAAACAGAAAAAAGCTACCAATATCTTATGGTCTGTCACCATAATAAGTAGCCCTTTGCATTACTTATGAACAGCTACTGAAATGTCCTACGCTTTATTCACTACAGGGTGACATTAAATCCATGGGTCAATTTGAATAATTCATTTCCCACATCAAGGTTGCCAGCAACCACAGATCCATGCTCATATGGCAGGGGTAATATTTAGGATGCAATCCTATTTATCCACACTTAACCAGGGAGCAAGTTCCATTGAATGCAGTGGGATTTATATTAGAAAGGCATTGTTAAAATGGTCTGTGCTAATGCAGCATAGCTATCAAGAGTTGTGCATTTCAGAAAGCTGCTGCGCTGGAATGTGGAAGCAGAAAGAATCTTTGTAGTACTACATCTGTAGCAATGCGCTGAACTCGGAAATGGGACAATTCTTCTGAGTAGCTTCCATGCCTAATCATTTGGTGGATTCTGCTGTGCTAAATGGATGCAAGAGCTTTAAGCTGCTTTTTTGAATTATTTGCTCCACCCCCTTTGCCTTTGACTCCACCACTTTTGCCTTCAGTTCCACTTACTCCTGGAATGGAGTCCCCCTCCCCACAGTTTCTCTGAAACTCAATATTGCCAAGAGGTTTTCCTTCCCATATTTAAAATCAGCCATGAGTAATAAAACAATTGGGGCACCATGTTATGCTCATTCTTGTCTTGTAAATAAAAGCAGAAAAGGAGAAATTTGGGACAATTTCAAGGCAAGAGCAAAACATTTTTTTTCCTTCTTTCAGAGAAGCATACTGAAATGAAAGGTGGGAGAAAGAAGGACTGAAATGAACCACTTTCGATTTTTAGCTGGCCGTTATAGAAGACATTTTTTAAAATAAGCAGAATTCCCTCCCTGAGTCTTCCCAGTGGGGAGGTTGGAAACCTAAGCCTAGTAACTTACATCAGCGATGCAAAATTGGAAGCCCTAAAAAAGCTCACAGACTGAAAAAAAAGAAAGAAAATAAAAATGGAAAACTCTTAGTATAGCTAAGCTGTTCTGATCCGCCATGGTATAAAGATAAAATAACAAACCTCAACTATTGTCCTCAAACCAGTTAATTAAAACATTTCATCTATATTTACATGAACGGAAGGTTTTGGGGAAAACCCCAGAAAAATGAAGTTTCCCCCTTTCTTTTTTTAAAATCTCTGTGGGGGGGAATTGGGATTTTCCTTAATTTTTTCTTGGATTTTCCTCAACTGTGGGTTTTTCTTCCCCATGTCTCCACATGTCTATCCAAATGTAAAAAGATACATAACCAGTTTTGAAATAATAAGAAAATAAGTGCCTGGATGGGAACAGCCAAAACATTAGCCATGTTATGAAATGGATTCTGGCATAATTTTCAGAAGTTAAACTCTTTTTTCGGGCTAGTTGGCTTCTGCAGCTTCCCATTTTGAATTTTCCTTGTACTCTGCCATTTAGAACATTTAAATACTTGCTAATATTTTAAAAATGCTGATGAAAAAGAACCCCCTTTACTGAAAGAAGATGATAGTTTAAATGTTTCTAAGCCATGAATATTTGCACAGAGGTAGGCCTCAAAACGACTTAGGCTTATGTAAGTGAGAAAGAGTGTGCAACTTGTGGACCTCCAAAGGTTTTAGCCTACGACTTTTATAAGCCTTACTTAGTATAGCTAATGGTGAAAGTTGTCAAGAAGCTGTAGGATGAACTGAATGGTTGGCCACAAGTGTCCCAATCCTGGTACAGAGGATTGCTGGTTGATATTTTCCCCCAGTCTTTTTGCTGTATATTGATGACCTGAGAATGAAAGGTTTTCATTCGCACTCCCAAACCATTTTGCGATCCATTTCACAAAAGCATTCATTTCCTATGGAAGATGCCTACCCTTAAGAGATGCAGAACAGTAAGCTATTCTCCCCACTGCCAGCAAACACCACCAAGATTCTTCACCAAAAGTCCAGGCATAGCCGTTTCCAATCACAAATGATCTGCACCAAACCAGCAAAAGTTTATCTCCCGACTGCACTTTCTCAGAGACTTACCTGGTTGCAACAAGTAAGCCTGTGAAGAGGTAATGTGGCTAACTAGGTTGTTCAAAAGCTTTCTGGATCCCAACATTTACACAAATCTACGTTCCTGTAGATTCTACAAATATGAAAAAGTATTCTGTTTGGTTAACATTCTGAAAAATATCTAACTACATGACATGTGCAATCCTGCTGGATATGAGGACTAACCTACAAACCATATGAAAGAGCCACAAGTATGGAAGTATTTCTTGTGCAGAGCTCTCAAAAAAAATGACTAATCAAGTACAGGACCTTGTATCTTATATTTTAAACAAAAACCTGGAAAATTTGAAGCCAGTATGAACAACACAGCATTTTAGGATATTCAGATGAAACAACACTGCAAATGCAAGCCAAGTGGCTCGCATCATATTCCACCAAGACACACTGAAGCTCATAACACTAATCTCATTACAGACTTACACAAATCCTGATTTTAAGCTATAGAGAACTCTAATTATATGCCTTTATACAGGTGCAAATTCACACCTCTAGATTGCCATTTCTGCCTAGTTATCTGTGGTTAACAAATGTAAGCCCTTCAAATGCAAGCATCTTCTGTAAACCTATATTTACCAAAATGTGGAGCCAGAGGAAGCTACTTATATCTACTACTAGTAAGAACAAAAAGCGAGAAAACGTAGTGGAACACCCTAACCCAACCTTCCCCAACCTTCCGCCTTCCAGGTTGTTGGACCAACCCAAACAACTCCCAGTCACTTTGGTCAACAGTCAGGAATGCTGGGACATGTAGCACAAAACACATGGAGGACATCGAGCTGGGGAACTCTGTCTTAATCTGTAGAAATCTATAGCCACAACTGAGAGAGCTCTGTATCTGCAGTACAGAAGGGTGGAAATATTCATGTCTGCAACTCAGTACTTCTCCACTGTCCCAGCACACTTCTTAAAGTCAGGATTTCCGAAACACAACTTCTGTTTTTTGAAAGATGTGAGAGAAGAAAGGCACATGTGCGTGCACGCGCTGAGAGATCAATGTAAACAAAAACCACCCAGCTATGCCCTGTAACCTTGGTCTTGGACGTCACAGCTTGCACTGGCACAGTAGGAATCCCTGGCTCATAGCCATGGGTTGCAGAATAGCCTGCTCCACGCAGGAATGCTCTGTGCAGCTGGGACTTTTAAGAGACCTGCATTTCTTCTCAGCCCTGCAAAGGGGGAGATTGGGAAAGATGAATGTTTTCCCCAAAGAGTCAAAAGCCACAGAGAGAATGTGTATGTCAAGGACAGGAAGCACAAGGGCTCAACTGTGCCAATCTTGCCACTAGTTTTTAAAGACCAGCCTAAGTGATCCTTAAGTG